ACACACTATTACATTGCAGTCATACATACATACATGCATGCATACATACATACATACATGCATACATATATACATACATACATACATACATACAAACACACATACATAAACATACATATAGACACAAAGCTGCATACATATAAATATATAAATATACAATTCCCATTGGATACATGTACATGGTTTAAATATTCACATTGGCCATCAATTACCATCAACATCATCTCAAATCAATATAAAATAATATGCCATGTATGGATACAAGATGATGCCGGTACTATATACCAAAATTGGAATACTTATCATCATGATGAAAAATGGCACATTGTGATAAACTAAGCATGTGGTATATATATATATATATATATCAAAATATTCAGATATTCATATATGTTTGTTTTTTGTTTATATTATAGACATCTGACATTATTATACTATTTGACATTCCAGTCTACCCGTGCTATGAATATCCATAGATGCAAATTCACCATCACTTACAATATATTAAAATATAGATAATGTAATCAATACATCACATGAATCATGTTTAATCCATTACACATGCCCATTCCTTCAACTCCCTGGATCAGGAGTTCCCACGACCCGCACTACATGTGCATGGCTAATGTGCATCCCTTGTGATCTGGGATGAACAAGCTCTGTAGTTACCACTGATGGATTTGGTTAATATTGTATACACACAACATATATCATATATATATATATGAATATGGAGAAAGATAATATATACTTATAATAATTTTTATAATAGTTGCACAAAGACGTGTTGATAAATATCACTGGTTGATGCCCTTGTGAGGTAACCATCATTTACTTCAAACATAACGTATGCCCTTCTGCCAAGGTACCACCATTCGAATGGTGCCATGCAGACCTCGAAGAGCTCAGGGAATTCCTCCGGGGTGAGATCCAGTGTGGGCGCTATCAACCAACGTTGAATCTCCCATTGTAACTGCTGGGTGCCCCATCTACTTCGATGGTTTGGATAACCAGTAGTGGGAAAAGATGAGTTGACCTTTTCTGTTTACAAATATGTGGCTTGTTTCCAAGCCAGTGCACAATTCAAATGTCAAATTGTTGGTCACAAGATCAGCATTTCTTAGCATTGCTGACTGAGATGGTCACGTGACACTGCGTGACATGAGCGTGACTTCGCGTGACATGAGTCTCGGAAAGGGAGTCTCGAAAGTCTCGAACTCTGTGAACGTAATTAAACTTTAAAGCTAAACAAGCTAAGTTCTCGAAAACTCTCGGAAAGTCTCGAGTGACATCAGCGTGACATGGCGTGACATGGCGTGACATGATGTGCCATGAACAACTGCATTAACCCCATGTCTTTGTTCCCTGAACCGTAAGGTGATTTTGGAGGTTCAAATTGTCTTGGGAAATACGTTTCCTGTGCCATTGGCCACCATGCCGGCTGATCCATATGCAGATATCGATGTGGACAAGGCACATTTACCCTGTGGTAGATACAACTTTGTGTAAAGGTTATTTTGACATGCAACATTTAGTACACCGATCCTTTTCTATGATTACCATTAAGCACATATATCAAACATCATTAAATAGTTATAAATTAAACATACATGAATCCTAATATATATTATTGGGTGTCTCCATATCCATACATATATACATATATTACCAGCATTGGCTATGATATATCATAAAAAATCACCACAATGTTGTTATTAATTTTATGTATATACTCTAGTTCGATCGGTCATAACTTCAAAATATTGTCGGCTTACCCTGCCCATCTCCACGCACGATCGAACCTTCTCTGCGGCCTCTGCGATGCTGCAGGTGGTGGCTTCGGCCTTGGGTGCAGCAGAGCATCGGAGATCTCGGCTTTCGGCTGTGACAAATGCTACAACTCGTGCTACAACCCCAGACTCTGTGGCCCGGGTTGGGGTTAAGAGAAACCTGAAAGCGGATCGGAACCCAGCATCAGCTAGTACGGCAGCCTCTTCATCGAAATCAAATGTGGAAAAGGTTACACCAGATGCAAAGCATGTGAGGACTGGTGGTGCTCCAACACCAAAAGCGTTGTTTGTGTCCCCCACCGCTGATTCTGATGTGATCATGGAGGTTGACCAAGGTGTGGTATTGAACAACTCTTATCTAAACTTCAACTTTGTTTGTTCATTTATCGATTGATCAACAGTTACTATATATGTACAACTACCAGATATCGGCCATCATGATGATCCTGGAATGATTCTTCATCCCAAACTAAAAACCATTTAAATGGAACCTGGAACACCTTGTTCAGATTCATGGGTTATAAATGAACGATTGATGTATATATATATATATACATATATATATATATCAATTGGATTCTCCATCAACAACAAGGCTATGATGGAATAATCTGTTTGAACAAATCAATTTTTGTTTCGCATATACCCTGTAGGTGACAAGCTTCGTCGCGGGGTTAGCAGTATGACAACACTTCCTGCTACAGAGGAGGAGATTGAGGCAGCACGTGCCACCTGGTTGGAGAAAAAAAACAGCAATTTGGGCAACCAGTGTTCAATGATTTACTAGTCATCAACATGTTTCCTGCTCACTTGCTAATTTTCCACTTGGGTTGGTCCCCCCAAAAAAGGCCCCCACAAGTCCCAAAATCTTTCATAAAATGTATGGAAAACACTGTTTTTGGGGGACTTGTGGGGGCCTTTTTTGGTGAACCAACCTAAGTGGAAATTTACCATGCTAACTTATTTGGTATCATACTTTTTTGGCAACATCTACACTTTTAGAATATATATATATATAAATAAATTACAGATCACTCCTAAACGGAACCTGGGAATTTTCCATTTAGTTTCGGATTGTCATGTTATTTTCACCTGTTTTTCTTGATGTGTAACAAGTGACCTGGAAACCCTTTTTGGGGGGTCAAAAAACGGGCTGCCAGGACACTTGTTGAAATTCAGTTCAAAATGGAAAATTGCCAACGGAACCTATGATTGTAGAATAAATTAACACAAGCGAAATGGGATCTGGCATATATATACCAACCTCGGGATAATAGGCTTTGTTGGCTGAATCAACTTATACATGAATCCTTGCAACTCTGCTTACCCACTAAAACGCATGATCCAGTGTGATAATGCGGCAATGCATTTCATCATCATCATCATCAAATATTTGGTCTTGGAACCTGAACCAAATATTTGTGTAAATGAATTATGGTTATGTTTCAGGTTCATATATTGTTTATCAAAAAATCAAATTCCACGATCCATCTGTTGGGTTGCCTCTTTACATCACTGAGGCTTCTTTCATGAACCGTGAAGTGCCACCACTACCACAGTTGGGCCAGGGAACTGGAGATGTTGGCCTCGCAGTTCAGCCGGAGGTACCTTAGCCAAATCGGTTTGATGAAACCATCAATATTTGATTAGTTTAAGCGGGGATGGCTCACCAACTGCCACCATGCTTGTGTGGTGTATATATATATATATATGTATTTATATGGGTACATATGCTGTATATCACCAACAAATATATCCTGTATATATATATATATAATCCATATTTGGTACATGTTGGCATTGGCCAGGATGAAACATGGATAATTGTTATATATGCTAGTTTTGATATTTACCACACATAGAACCTATATTTACACATATCAACGTATGCATCTCCACCTGCGTACATGCACCATGTTTAAGGTTGATTTTACGATAGATCGGTTCATACATATATATATATATGTATGTACCAACACCTGGTTGACCTTAATTAACTAGCATATATATACTTTAGACTCGGATCCCACATGATATTCACAATATACATATATATATATATATACACATTACGTTCACCAACATATATAATTGGTAGTTCTTTGCCTATATATATATATTATACTCCTGGTTCTGGCATTCAGGTTCACGAGATGTTGAACATCTTGGCGAAGAACCCCGTGTTTGCTTCGAATCCTGCCTGTTTGGCAGACTTTGTGAAGTCTCTGGTGGCAACAAGTGCCCAGGCCATCCCGACCCCAATGCACAAACCTGCAGGGGAACCAGATCCCACACCTACGACGCCAAGTGCAGCAGCAGCACCAGCAATGGCAGTTCAACACAACACAGGGGGTCGTGATGAGGTTGAATCGTCCAAAGCTGTGGAAGCACGTAAGCAGTTCTGGTCGAAGTTCAAGAGGCCATCATCGTCATCATCGCAGGATGCTGGGCTCAGCCCCAGATCGGAAGCTTTGTTGTCCCTCCCAACACTCAGGTTGGGTGAGGAAGTGCCTGATGAGAAGGAGTCAATCGAAGTGATTGGTTCCCAGGAGTTGACACCCCAAATGGCAGAACCTGTGGTGCCCCATTGCGGCCCGATTCCTGACACGGTGCTTCCTGATTCACAGGCTGCTTCGCCGTGCATGGCCAATGCAGTGGTGCATCTGGAGGATCCTGAACCTGCTTCAGAAGGCCCTGGCAAAGATGGTGAACCAGTCAACCCAAAGGCTTTGCAGACGGAACCTTCCGGCTGCACCGGACCTCAGCCTGCTGCGGAGGACCTTGGCAAAGATGGTGAACCAGTCAACCCAAAGGCTTTGCAGATGGAACCTTCTGGCTGCACCAGACCTCAGCCTGCTGCGGAGGACCCTGGCAAAGATGGTGAACCAGTCAACCTAAAGGCTTTGCAGATGGAACCTTCTGGCTGCACCAGACCTCAGCCTGCTGCGGAGGACCCTGGCAAAGATGGTGAACCAGTCAACCCCGAGGCTTTGCAGATGGAACCTTCTGACCGCACTGGACCTGAACCTGCTGCAGAAGGCCCTGGCAAAGATGGTGAACCAGTCAACCCCAAGGCTTTGCAGATGGAACCTTCTGGCTGCACTGGACCTCAACCTGCTGCCTCCCCCATGGAACCGATGATGCCTGCCTCGCATTGTTTGAACAATGTGGTTGTGCATTTGGATGATCCAGGCAGCGATGGTGAAACAGTCAACCCAAAGGCTTTGCCGATGGAACCTTCTGACTGCACCACACCTCAACCTGCTGTCCCTGCAGTGGAACAGATGGCACCCTTGCCCGATTCCCAGCCTGACTCCATGATGGTGGATTCTGAGCCAGAGAAACCTTCCACAGACCCTGCTGGATCGAATTCAGTAGCTGAAGCTTTGAAGCGGGTGAACACCGTGGACCTTGAGAATGGAAAGACCCCAGCGCCACCGCAGAGCTTGATCGCTCCAGCCAGCGTTGGAGTTTCCACGGTGGTTCTGCTTGATGTTGGTGGAGTCGTGCAGCCTGTGACAGTCCCCCTTTCACCACATCAATGCAAGCTGGCTGGATTGACTTTGGCCAATGAAGGTTCTGATCCCATCCCGCCACCCCCAGGTTTGAACCAATCACCAGCTGTGCCACCACCAGCTTTGATGCCTCCACCTTCAACGGTTCCCAGAGGATCAGCCCAGTCTGCTGCTCCAACCACGCACGCATCCACAGAACTTGATGATCAGACCTCCGAGGCTGAGACCCTTCCAGAGCCCTCACTTGCAGGTGATGATGATGGATCAGGTGAGCTGTCGTCAAAGCAGATGCTGAGGAACATGTACATGCGGTTCAGCAGAAGCCAGAAACGTTCCCAGGTAGCATTGGTAGAAATGAATCGGAACCAATAATAAGATATGTATATATGATATATATATATTATATGTGTTAAAGGAATGGTGATAGATCAACCAATTTTTTTTAAATAGTAACCTGTAGGATCCGTTACACACACATATATATATATTATAAGCGCCATAGGATCCATATATGGTAAATGAATAGTAAATAATGAGCAATGTAGGCAAATATTTCCATTGGATCATGTAATTATAATATGGTCCATAGGAACCATGTATATGTAAATATTTATATATATATATTAGTAGTTGTCTGCTCAGCCATGGTTCATCCTTGTAGCCTAAACTGCCCAGCTTCAGGTGCTGACCTCCCGAAGCCCATCAAGGAGAAGTTCGATGCTCTGAAAGCCCTGGAGAAGCAGAAGGGCGACTTGTTCACTCATGGATGGGGATGGAATAAGACAATGCACATGTTGGTTAAACACCGCAAATTTACTATGTACATGTATTTTGGCATCGTCATTTACCACAATATGTGTATATATATATATATATATGGCATCATGTTTTTGGCTCATTTAGCTGCTGTGCTGACCTTGAAAAATGACACTGCAAAAAGATTATTTCATGGATTGATTTTGGCGTGACAGGTTTGTATCAGTTTGACATCAATGTGTGACAGATTAAAAAAAAACACACAACCACTACACTTGGAATTAATCTGCAATATATGCAGTGATGACTAACTATACAAATATATATATATGTTCAAAAAATTATATTGAGTATCGTATGGTGTGTAAACCTGCACCAGTTATTATCTACCCAATAAAATATCTGATACCAGGTATATTATGTCTGGATCCTATTTTGGGAATGGCAACATGTACAATCCACACACCCCAATGGTTGACATGTTGGGTACATTAGGGTCCAATGCTTCAAACACTACTTTTCAATCATGAACAAGGTATATCGTTGATGCGCATGGATAGTGATCTAGATTTCGGACTATCCCTTTATCGATCAATGCCACTCCGAGCTGTAGCCAAGGCATTCATCACCCAGCTGTTCGAAAGGAACGCCAGCAGCTCTTTGAAGAGTTCGTGCAGTCCAATGAAGATTGGGCCCAGTCTTCGATGGCAGTGAGCACAGAACATCGCGATGGACACCAAGTGCGTGGTGTGTATAAGCTCATGAGCAAAGAAGAACTTCGATTTAAAATTTGAACGATGATAGTCATTTAGGTGTTGCGAAAACTATTTTTTACAACTATGCACGTTGTTTAACCTATTTGATTCACTTGATCAACAAATCACATAAACGAATCTGATAGTTTCCATGGCCCATCGGATCCACATATATTGGATATATGTTTTTTTGTGATCTTCAAATATATATATATAAATATATTTATATATGTGTGAATCCCTGGGTTTGGAATTACAGTGATGGCAAATATTTTATTCTATATATGGTTGGTAAGATTGCACATATTATAAGATTCAATGATTAATGGTAAGCGGAATGGTACCACCTGGATCCAGGTGGTAAGTGTCTGGGTTGTGGCAACTGATTGATGTTACATTTCACCGATGTATCATGTCTTTTCCCCACCAAGGATTTGATGAAGAGATACCACAGCAACGAATCTATCGTCCTGGACATCATCAAAGCAAAGGCCACCTAGATTATGTTGCAATTGTGGAGCATATTGTAATGTCATGCCTCTCCATGGAATCGGATTTTATGTTATCTTCCATTTATTGGTTTAACATTGGATGTAAATTTGGTACGCAGGAAGAGCTGAATGACTGGGAATTCAACCCGGACGTGCCCAACATGAAGCTCTACCGTTGTTGGGATTCGTCTGCGGTCATCAATACGACCGACCAGTCTCGAAGTGTGAGGGTTCAGAGAGAAGGTGAGCTTCATGCATCAGAAGCTGCTTCGTTGATGTTGGGGCCCCATTGCAAACCAACCAGGGAAGAATCATACATAAGACACCAACACTCTACCCCATATCATCCATGTAAAGCATAGAACCTAATATATGGATTCTTTTAGTATCTAATTCATTGTATATATAAATATGTTTTTTTGGTCTTGGTTGCCGCTATGAACAAAGTAAACATACAGTTGCTATACATGGATGATAAGGGGTATGCATACTGAACATATCAATCATCATGATGGCTCCATGGGTTTACCTAGGTCGAACCCTGCTTCCGTGGATCCTTCCTTCCAACGAGAAGGCCGTCCTGGTGGTGGTTCTGGAGGACCGCAAGGCAACCTTGGGGCGCCAGGCACTGGTGATGGTAATGCTGATCAGTCGAAAAGACAACCAAAGCCACCAAAGATCCCGAAAGCAAAGACACCAGCCCAGGAAGCCAAAACAGTACTTTGGTTTGATTAATAGTTATTTTCACCTCGGTCAATGTTTCTAGGCTGCTCAGTTTTGTTTTTTTTAGATGCCAGTTTGTCAGAAACTGCACTTAGGCAATGACGGCAGCATCCTCTTTGATCTTGGAATGCCAAGGTTACTTTGGCTATATCATTAAAATTGTATGTTGCGAACTTACCCATCAAAATGTTTAAATTGTGGTATCCAATCAAGAAACATCAAGTGGTAAGTCAATAAGTTCAGTGGGTGTTCTCAACCAACATGTGGTGCATCATTGATCCACAAACCTTTTGTCAAACTGTGTGTTTTCCAAGGTTGGGGTGCGAAGCTGCAACAAGCAAATGTGCTCCACTCTTAGTTTACTTAACCAAAAATCAGGTGAATGCATACTGTTTACTCCAATGTAGGATTCATGCATCGTCTTGTTACCTACATCGCTGGGGCCATAGGTACCTATAAATATTTTATATACTAAAATTAATAGTTCTGAATGTAGGCGTATGGACAATGCATGGATCCTTAAAACTACAAAGTTTTTTGAGTGAAGCCTTGTCGATCATATCTAAATTAGGCCTGAAGCTATCCGCACTGCAGCGATTGCGGATTTGTCAACCAACTTGGAAGCGTTGAAGGATGGCCGGCAGAGCTTGGAGGTGAGGTGTCATAGCTCTAGTTTGGTTTCCCCAAATCTTTCCCCAAATCTTCCAGCTAAAAAAATGCTTGTACTCAGTGCATCATTCAACAAGTAGATTTTTTTCAACGAAGTGAATCAGTATTGCTCAGCTTACCAATCAAACCAAAATAATTGATGTGTGACTCATCATCCGTGATTCAACCATTCAACCATTCAACAGTGATTTTTCTGTGAAATCATGTTCATCGTACAATTCATTGACTGTATATGTAAGACACATGGATATGTATCAAACAATAACTCAATGAATAGTTGATTTAAATCTGTAATTTCATGCAGTCATGCAGCCGATTCTTTAATCCTCGTTATATGTCAGCATCATACAGACATATATCAATATCTTATCTTTGGCGTTCATATCAACGTTGATGTACTGTACATAATTTCTATTTATGAAATATATATTATATTATCGATGATAATTGATGCATAGTTACAATATTCTCATTTAACTTGCCCTGTCAGCCAATTGTAAGTAATCCATGTTGACAAAAGGAACATATATTGTTCAAACCCTTCCATCCAACACAGCCGATACATAATAATGACAACCATGATCAATTATATAAGATTTCCCCTCATTTATATTTGGTTTGTACAACCATCCTCCGACAGGCATGCGTTTCTGGTGGAGGTGATGACACTCAACTTCGGACTGCAACCAACAGTCTTACGAAGGCCATTGCTGATTACAAGAATGCATCGGCAACCGTGAAGGGGCTCGAAAGTCGAGCAAAAGCTGCCGCCAAGCCCAAGGCTAAGGCGAAGGCAAAGAACAGAGCCGAACCGGCTGTGTAGAGCCTGGCCAAGGGACAGAGCTCGCTTTTTGAAAGGGTCGACATTCTGGCTTGTGCTTAGGTGTTTTGGGAGTGCAGGTAACCATCCTGGCAGAAGAAAACCATAGTTTATTTATCGCTCAAATAGGAATATTGTAGACATGAATTTGTTTAGTTGTTTCCTGAACTTGAGGCTGAGCGCCAGGATCCCTGCAGACAAGCTGCACAAGTTGCCAGCAGATGTCACCACCAAATCTAGATCAGTTGATCCAAACCATGATGATCATTGCAGCTTAATCCTGGACTTCTGGGATGCCATTGCGAAACTGTAGAGTGGTTCACTATACCATGGTTCACTTTAACATAATCATGATTGTGGCATTTTTTATTCTACCGATGTTGCAGTTGATCATAGAAAAAATGATTGATTTAACAAAACCAAAACTAATCCTTTCCAATGGCTGGCCTGGATCACCGGGCGCCAGCGATGCCAAGCGGAGAAAACATAAGCATGCCATATGTTGCCCACACCCTTCCAGTCATGGCCAATGGGATGAGAAACAAATCGTTGTTTACACGTAGAGGAATCCTATATATATATACTCATATATGTATAAATATATCTTTATATATGTAGAATATTACTTGGATTGAAACAATGTTTACCATATATAATGTTTACATCATGGTTTTTGCCCAATGAACATCAGTTGCTGTGAATGGCTAATAATCTTGATGATGATATTACACAAGATTTAACATTTTTTGAACGATATTTGCCACCACCTATTACAGTATCACACCCGAAGCCTGCCTTCCCATCGCAGATACATCGTTGGCGGAGCACCTCATTTCCACGCTGGGCAGGGGAGTGGCTTGGTCCCCCACTTGTTCATTACATTGTTTGGGCTGACTATCCAGTGAATTATTGCTAACCCCATCAGTTCATTATGAAAATAACCAAACATAATATGATTATGCAATAAACCATCATCCATGAGTATGGCAATGACACTAACCCTAATGATCACTTATTTCTAGATTAAACTTATTCTTTTAATGATCAGGCATATTATAAACCAAATGATCTCATTGATATCAACAATTTAGGGTTTGTCTGTCTAATCCATTATCCATGATCTGGTACATGACACTAACCAACATATATCAAATGGTTATTCATTATTCGAAGTTTAAGACTTGTTGGTTTAATCATCGTAAGTAGCATGAATCAAGTGATCTATTGCATTGTAGGATTCATTTTGTTTGTTTCCAATACTTTTATATTTTATTATCTGTTTGATGATGATAAAAATCACATACACAATGAAGATAGGATCCTCCCTTGAGCTAACCATGGAACAGGATGTGCATTGTGCTTCAAGATGTATTATCCTTAATTGATGAAATTCAAGAACACCTTCGCTGGAGCTATGGGTTAGCTATTACTCAATGCGTTGGACAAAACAATCCATCAACGATTCATCAGTTGATGGTTGAATTTTAAGCACAATCTTCACAACTTTTTGGTTACATTGATAATGATCATCAATTCTTTACCTATAATTATGACCAAATAGCTATATCTGGTGAATCATAGTCTCATGTTTGATGGTTCCTTAGTCGTTGGCCCAGGCTTCCAGCTGTGCTGACCTTCAAGCTGCAGCTGCTGCTGCTGTGAAAGAATCTTGGTGTTGATTTCAGATCATGGTCAGACTATATAAATCCATACGTATGTTTATCATGTACACTGCACGGTCCGAATCCAAAGTTGGAGGTTCTTGTTCTCTGTCTCGTGCGACTTTTCCTCAATGGTTTGTAGCTTGAAGTCCAAGAAGTTTGCAACGAAACTGTTTTCGGGCAACAAACTGATGATCCACAAGGCACATAAGCATTGACGTCTTTCCATGCCCTGTGTCGTGGTCGAAAAGAAAGCTTGTCATGGCCGTGATCGAACTCAGGAATCTGGAGGCCAATGCAGCAGCATCACCAAGAAGTTAGCTCGCATCGGATCTGCTGGACGTCACCCTCAAAATGCAGAGAGAGACTTGTTCCGAGCACTGGAGCTTCCGATAGAATCACGCCTTACTATAGGCATGTTTTTTGTTATTTTTTAATGATCATATAAATGTTTTCTTTCGGTAATAAATTTGATGACTAAAAATCCAGATGAATACATTACTTAGCTCAAGTGTAAAATTTCCATATATTATATAATTGATTGATAATCTCAACAAAATAAGAAACATATCATCAATAATTAATTCTGATTGATTAGGAAATATGTATGATATATGTATGGGTGATATATCATCAGTGATAATTTTCTCATCTTATAAATGAAATTGGTTTACTTCATTGCTATGTTGACATGGTTGGTGTTGTTGGGGTGCACATCAATTCCTTCTTCATTATCATCTGGTGATGTCCATAATCTTCCTCAAGTTCAACCACACTTGATAACATTAATAATGATCGTTCTGTGAGGATCCCCAACATTCTGTCCAAGCTGTAGGACATTCATTTTATTGACATCGATGTGAGGGATATGGTGGATCCCAAACGCAAGACTACAAAGATGCGGGTGCCCATGCTGATGCCGCATGAACTCCTGAACTTTTTGTCAGACCCTTGAATGAAAACCAAGTGTGTTTGCTCTGTTTTTGCTAATCGTTCGTGATCACCCCAATCCCAACAAATCACATTATTTGTTGAATCTCATTTGAACTAATTAGTGATTATCAGTTTTTAGTCATTCCAGCGATGCTCACTTGGTCTCAATTGTTGATTGATCGAACATAATTCGTTTGATGTGAGCACTGTGATTAGGCAAACCGCAAGATCAATATTGTGGAATCTGACACTGAGCAATACTGGCTGCATTATCGAAACCATATTGGTCATCATCCGGCAATTGATCAACATGATCGGGAGCCTTCGTCTCCTTGGCATCAGCCTGTGGGCATTTCGGGGGATGATGCACGCTACACTTTGGCTGGTCGTAAGATCATCATCATGATGCTTAGCTATGTACTTCAAAGGAAGGAACGTTTCTTGATTGTTATTCATTAGCGTTTTTTCAGTGACAATAACATATCTTCCTGGGAAAAGGTGGTCTTTAAATATTGGATGTTTACCCATGAACAAAACTAAAATATCATCATCTACAGTTTGAACATATATAAACCACTGAACCATCCAGGTCTGGATCTATGTCGATTTCCATTTTTCATCTTGCGTCATGAAGTGAGCTTGGGTTTCAAGACGCTGGCACCGATCTTCCGGGTTGTGGCATGGAGCTTCAATGTGGCTAGCCCAAAAACTAGCTGACTGTAATATATATATATATATATCTGAATCATTTATTCTCAGACTAGATGATCAAGGATATATACTTTACATAACCCAGACTGTCCATATATGATCACAATAACTATAATGGTCATGCTACATGAAAATAATCACACCACAAGTGAAGTTGCTTTGACTATCTCGTAACCCTACAAGTTTGCCAATCCCTGATCATGATGCTAATAAAACACCATCGGTAACGGATACCCTCACCTCGGCTGTAAACCCAGGTGGCATTCAGCGGGAAATGGCCTTCATGTGACTTTGAAGGGCGACTTCTGAGGGATCCAGCGTCAACCCGCAGAGCTGGTTCGCCTATGGTTGCCAAATGGGCTGTCACAGAGTTCAGAGGAGATTGGAACCGTAGCCATGTTTAATCAATATATAAGATTGTCATTTTTTGGGGTGCCAAAAACGCTTAGATAATGCTGGTTGATTTATTGCAGAAGTTCTCCAATGATCTGGCTGAGGAAATGGCATGCTGAAATTTGGGACTTCCGCAAATATTATTTGTCGAATGCCATTTGCCACAAATGTATGGCTTCGAAAACCTCTGGACCCAACCAGTGCTTTGGTTTCAATTCGTAGTTTTAATTTCCAATATCTTCGGTCACTAATATATTGGATGCTGCTTATGGGATAGCTGGTTTTCACCCAAAATTAAACAATGGTTAAACAATTGTGATGTATGTCTTTCAAGTTGTGAATCAGTTAAGGTTCACCAACTTCAATAACTTCAAGGTCCTGGGTGGGATTCACCGGTTCACCAGAAATGAATTCTATACAAAGTGTGTGAAGCAATTGAACCCACTTGCTTTGATCACTGGCTTCTCACCCGTTCAAATACGCTTCTGCATGATGCATATCGTCCATCTAGGGATATGTCAGTGGCTGAATGCCAGTGCTGTGCATGAACTCAATGTGTACGGTTACTTTGGCCCTGGAGCTCTTTCAGAACAGCTGCACGTGATGACCCAGCGATTGAACCAATGGTGCTCTATGAACAGAATCAGGTGGGGCGGTAAGCTTTTAGCTTTAATTCAAAGTTGACCCATCAACCAGAAATAATCTTAGCAGTTCAATAGCAAATGAATCTTAGCCATCCAGAAAAATAATTATATTTTCAATAGATGCAAATACAATGATAATGTTAAGTTAATTTTGTTTTCTCAAATTGTTGATCATACCTTTCAGCACGGTTGATGTATGGTTAGTATCAAACCTTTGTTTGTTCATTCATTCCCTGATCATGAGGCACTACCAACCTCATATACCAACTGCAGTCATTGTTGTAGCTGCTGGAGAATACCCGGAACTTCGATTAAAGGCTTGGACATCCCGGGTCATCACAGCGTTTCTGGCAGTTGCACTCCAAGATGCCTGCAGCAAATTCACCAACGCAGAACGGCCACCACAGCTCGCAATGGCGGCAATGGCGTGCGTCAAGCTTGCTGAATGGATGTTGATGATTGAAAGATACCCTCGGTATTTGACCCAGGAACAAGCTGATCATCTTCATCGACTTTCTTGGGAGTTTCCTTAATCTGATATCTTGAGCAGCTTTTACTTTGACAGCTATGTTAAGTGTTTTGTTTTCTCCCGGTACCCTAGTGTTAATTCATATGACTTATCGCGAGCGCAAACTTGAAGGTTCCTTGATGTTTATCAAGCTTTGGCGGACCACTGTGCATCCCGTGGCATCCTTCAATATCCCAGGAAACCCAAGCATCACGTCCCTTGGTCAAGGTTTTTGCTGAATGATATGTTTGTTTTCGTTCAGCAACAATGTTATCAATCAATTTGATCCACCATTTATTCCTGTTTCACTTCTGCACTTCAGTCCATCTACCATCTTGGTTGAACATAAGTGTGTAATCAGCGCTTTCACTGCGATCCTGGCTGCTTGAAGGATCACGGTTTTTGCGGTACAAGCCGCTGGCTTCATTGGGCTCCTCCTGCCTTCTGGAGGATCTGCTGTCATAGTTATTGTGCTCCCATCCGCGAGAAGCTCTGGGGCTGCCGCCTTCCCAACCGCTGGTGTTGCTGGTCCATTCGTGTCCCCAAGATCCATGATGCTCCTGGTCTTGTGAGCTCCACTGCGGCCACTGTCCGCTACTATTTGCGCTCTCCCACCAAGAATCTTCTTCGCGGCGCTCGCCGCTACGATTCCAGCCCCCATCTCGAGAGTAGCCTGCATCGTCGCGGTGCTGGCCGCTGCTGTTCCAACCCCTTTCCTCATCTTCGTGCCAATACCCTGAATCTTGGCGGTGCTGCCCGCTGCTATTCCATCCCCAATACCCGGCAGACCATGACATGCTGGGCTTCCGAAAGCGAAGCCAATGGCGAGGAAGCAAACTACACTATCAGGTCAGCAGGCCAGAATATTTAGAATGGCGGTTGTTGATACATGTGAAATGAGGTTGTCATTATTAAAAACAAATGGGGTTACTTCTGCTCATAAACCCTATGAAATTTATCTGGTACAGGGATGGTTAAGTAGATTGTTTAATTGTGTTCTATCTGCTCCCATGGTATTATCATGCTATAGGTAAAGTAGATTCGTGTATTTGCCTATGCGCGTATGCCTTTGGCCACAGTAGTGGCTCCTTGAGCCTAGACCCATGGCGAAACAAGAAAATAGTCCAATGCCCTTGCAGCGTTAAAATTGTTGAGTTGTTGCTTTCGCTATGGTTGAATGGTTAACTGAACCTTGCGCACGTCAATGCTGCGCTCCATGCATGAATGTTCAAAGAAAAATCAAGTTTGTCTACAATTCCCTTCCATGTAGAAAAAGGGAAAAAGAAACTGCAGCAAGCCGGACCAGTGCTGGAATCGAAAGCCTGGGATTTTTTTCCAACTTGGAATCCTTCGAGCCTTGAAAATCTGCTGCTGCCTGCATTGCAAAGCTACCTTAACAATGCACTTCCCCTTTTGTCAGCTCATTTCCCGCAATCTGTGCGCACAGCACCTGCTTCAAGAAAGATCAAAGCTCCGAATCTGCGACTGATGCTTGTTTTAAAACATAAACATTGAGCAGAAGACAGGTGACAATGCCAAGCTATTAGCATTCTTTTGCTGAATTCTTCTTGCTACAATGGTGGAACAATTGCGTGGAAGAGAAAAAACATCAGTCCGAGTCAGATGCGACACTAGATCTATGGCTATGTCTGGACGCACTACTGGAACTGCTTCCACTCTTGCTATTGCTATCGCTGCTGGAGCTACTGCTTCCATGCGAAGACTGAGATGAAGCATCTGGTTTGCTTGAGCCAGACGCGGATGCTTTGCCGCTGCTGTTTGCGTTTGCCACTTCTTGCGGAACCTCGTCTGACAGATCATGCGCTTTCCGCTTCTTTCCCGCAGCTCGCTTGCAAACAACCTTTGCTGCCTGGGCTTTTGCTTTGCCTTTCGCTTTTGCCTTGGCCCGTGGCTGGGCTTTGTTCTTGGCATCGAGCGTCTCCGCTGCATCTAGTTCTTGGTCTGTTGGTGCTTTTCCAGTGGGCAGCTTTAATGCTGACAATCTTATGTCCAAGAGTCCTTCTGGCAAAACATCAGAGGATTTTATATATGCGGACGTGTGGTGCCGCTTGCG